AGGTAGAGGTGATCAGATCAAATCATGAATGTCTGCATTCCTGCACCCACACCACCGATTGCGGGCGTCCCTGGGACCTTCCATGACATGCCCTGGGCCTTCCAAGTTTTTGCAACCTGAACAAGCAGAAGGGTCACTGATCCAGGAAGTTGGGTGGATGACTTGAGAGGTGGATCCAGGCCAGAATTGGGTGGGAAGCGCTGAGAGGGCTGGATGAAGGAGGAGGGCACAGAGAGCAGGCCAAGGACTCAGAGGAGTCCTTTGCGCTACCTCACAGGGACTCAAGGATGTTACTTCTTCAAGGATGCTGGATTCACGGGGCCAACGCAGCCCTGTCTAGAACACAATGGCCATCCCAGTGCCTTCACATCTAGGTGCCGATGCGGTTTGAAGCAAAATCAGAACAGACCTGAATTTTGAAAAAATGTGGGTGAAGCAGAATGAAATGACCCGTCAAAGTCCTGGAAAGGGAGACTCAAGGGGCACAGGGAGCCCCTTCAGGAGTCTGAGGTGGGAGACTGAATCACTGCCAGGCCTGTGGTGCCACCAGCCACCATCTCGGACTGGGGCAGTGTCGTCCCCGTCGGTGTCTGTCAAGGGAATTGTTGCTCTGTAGCCCACACACCACCCTTGTTTTCTAAGAGCACAAGTAAGCCCCTAGCAGAGCACACACCTGTGGCTGCTTCCACTGTACAAGTCCTCTGGCTCACCCCCTCTCACAAGGGCAGGTCTGTACAGTGCCACGTCGGCAGCCAGGACTGAACCAGGAAGAGCCACTCGGGAGTCCTGCTGGACACGGCTTCGTTTGTCTGTGGAGCATATGTCTCACTAAGCTATCGGACACCTACCCCAGATCAGGCAGTTGATGGGAATTACCCAACGCCTTCTTGGGGTTCAGAGACAGGGCAAGGGATCAGGGCTGCTAGGTGTTGGTAATCTTGGAAACTGTCTTCAAGGCCTTAGGAAGCAAGACCAAACGCTTCACTGGTGACAGACAAGGAAGCCAGTCCCTGCCCACGTGGCAGGACGGCCATGATGTTCCAGAAGCCAGCTTTCCAGAAAATGCGATGAATCCGATGAACAACCACAGGTCCTTCCTTCCTCTGACATCGAATGCCCAGCGCTTTGCTCAGCCCAGAGCGCGCGGTCTATTTTCCCCTTCTGAGAGATTTCTTCTTTTTCCTCTGGAACTTTTCGTTTAAATTCCGGCTCCATACCCGATGGATGAAAGAGC